TCCCTAGTTTGTAGTTTCATATTTATTTATTTTGAGATGTATTTCTTATTTATTTTTATTGGAAAGTTAGAATTACAGAAAGAAAGAGATGCAGAGAGAAAGATCTTCCATCTGCTAGTTAACTCCTCAAGTGGTCTTTAGCCAGTGGCTATCTACCCATGCCCCTAGCCTTCCCAGCATGGAGATGCCCAGGGTGCCAAGATGAGAGTGTGTTCAGCTATTACAACTGGCTGCTTTTCCCATCACTGCCTTTTGATCATAGTAACTTAAAAACGAACTCATGTATTACATGACACTCTATATCAGTACCGATTCTGCTGGCTTTTTTCTTTGGTGTCTGCCTTAGCCTGTCTAACCCACAAAAGAATCATTTACTCACCTTGTGGTTACACAAACCCATATGTGTTATACATTAGTTATACAAATACACAAGTGACACAAAAACTGATGAAATCTGAGTATGAGCCACTGTTTACTTGATAATATAACAGTAATATAGTTTTCTTGGTTTCATAAGATGGAATCAATCAATTGGGTGAGGGGTACATGGGAAATTTTTATTATTTTTTGCAACTTTTATGCAAGTCTAAAGTTATTTCAATAAACGGTTTAAGAATCCCAGGGAGAAAGGCTGATGCTATGGTGCCACAGGTTAACCTGCCACCTGCAGCATTGGCATCCCACGTGAGTACTAGGTTCCAGTTGTGGCCACTCGATTTTTCATCCAGCTCCTTGCCTAACCAGAGGATGGTCCAAGTGCCTGAGCCCCTGCCACCCACATAGGAGACCAAAATGGAACTCTTGGCCCCTGGATACCAGTATTAGCAAGAATGTGGCATGATGAGAACTCATACTGCTGGTGATTAAGTAAATTGATACAGTCACTTCGGGAAAAAGGTTTGGTACTATCTTCTGAAGTTGGTTGATTCATATGACATGAAGAACTCATTTCACTTCTAGGTACGCCCCAATTTAACTGTCACAAACAGGTGAAATGAGGGCACAAAGATGGAAGGAGCTGCCTACAGAGGGTGAGAGAGAATAGCCGAGAAGGATGGGTGTCCTGTGGGTGTTAGAAATGTTCTATTCTGTGACCTGGATGACAATCACATAAAAATACACTTTATGGGCCTGACATCATAGCCTAGTGGCTAAAGTCCTTGCCTTGCATACTCTGGGATCCCATATGGGCATTGGTTTTAATCCCAGAGGCCCCACTTCCCATCCAGCTCCCTGCTTGTGGCCTGGGAAAGCAGTCGAGGATGGCACAAAGCCTTGGGACCTTGCACCTGCGTGGGAGATCTGGAAGAGGCTCCTGGCTCCTGGCTTTGGGTGGGCTCAGTTCTGGCTGTTGTGGCCACTTGGGGAGTGAATTAGCACACGGAAGATCTTCCTCTCTCTCTTCCTCTCTGTATATCTCCTTTCCCAATCAAAATGAATCTTTAAAAAAAATACAATATGTAACGATCAATTGAGGTAAGTAGCCACGCTGTGTGGCTTTCTTCCTATTTACTTCATAAGAAAAAAGTTAAAAACAAAAGGATTTAGAAAGATACTACCTACAGCATGATTTAAATATCCTCTTATTAATGCAATGTTCCCCAAGTCATCAGGTTGGATGGAGCGAGCGTCTTCACCTGAAGCGCAGGTGGGAAGCTGGGGGTCGGCAGGAGTAGGAGGACATATTGCCTCCTGAGACGCTTGCTCAGTGTTTCATCTTACCTGCCTATTCCAGCTTTCTCCCTTTGCCTCCACATTCTCATTTATCTACCAAAAAGAGCCTTTACTTACTCTTTATTATGAAAAACAATTTTTACAAAATAAAGGAATAGTGAACATTATTCTCAACCCTCACATCCCCATGGGATGCTTATTGATGATTGTAGTTGTGATCCAAATCTGAATAATTCTCCTCCTAACCTTGTTTGCCTACACGTATTTTTCACTTGGCGTGAGTTTACCTATTTGTCAAAGTGGGTAGCTATAGCATTCTCCATCTTCATTATCCACACAGAGCCTTCTCGATTGAGCTGATTTGAGCATCCACAGGAAGCACCATGGCTCTGTGTCTGTCTGTACAGGTCAGTATGGACCTTTAAAAATTTTTTTATTTATTTTTATTGGAAAGGCAGATATGCAGATAGGAGGAGAGACAGAGAGGAAGATCTTCTGTTCGATGGTTCACTCCCCAAGTGAGCACGATGGCTGGAGCTGAGCCAACCTGAAGTTAGGAGCCAGGAGCTCTTACGTGGGTGCAGGGTCCCAAGGTTTTGGGCCGTCCTCGACTGTTTTCCCAGGCCACAAGCAGGGAGCTGGACAGGGTCGCCGGGATTAGAACCAGTGCCCATATGGGATCCTGGTGCATGGGAGGCGGAGGACTTTAACCACTATGCTGTTGCGCCAGGGTCTGGACCATTTGTTTTGCTTCAAGGTTGCAAACCGCACTGCTCTCAGGAGCTGTGTCACAACAGGGTTTCTCAAGTAACAAAATGGCCTCTTTCATCCTGTCACTACACTGCCCAGCTATTTCTTGGATCAAGGGCCGAAAGAAAGTAAAAATGTGACAATCTGAGCACTCCCGACTGATGGCTAGTGCAAAGCATACAACATTCTACACCTTCTGATCATCGGACACAGGAGCTTTCTCTGTCTCTCCTCCTGTCTGTATATGACTTTCCAATACAAATTAAATAAATCTTTTAAAAAGAAAAAAATGTGATCCCTAAGGTCTTATGCAGAAGGTTCTGTGGATGGAAACAATCCAGCTGAAAGGTGGAATTCCTGAGAAGTGGTGAAACTGGGTTAGGTTCTTAAGGTGGAGCCCATGATGGAATCGTGGCTGGGTAACGTGGACACTGGCACATTTCCTCTTGCTCCATGATGTTCTGCCTCAGTGATGTGAAGATCTGGGAATGTGTCCAGATTTCATATATTTTTAAATATTTCATTTTATTTGGACTGCAGAGTTAGGGAACTTTCACCTGATGATCTGCTGGTACACTCCCCAGACAGACTTCATGGTGGGGAGGCGGGAGTAGGGCCACGCCAAAGCCAGGAGCTTCTTCCAGGTTTCCCACATAGATGGCAGGGACCTAAAGCACTTGCCCATTTACGGGGAGCTGGATCAGAAGTGGTGCTCATGTGGGATGCTTGTATCTTCCTGGGGTAAAATCCCTACTTAATAAAAGCAGAGCCTCTACAGGGTCAACATCCCCTGTCCTGGGGTCCCAGGTTTGCACGGAGTGTCGGGTCATCCAGCCGTATGCCCGCCAGAGGGCGCTCGTCCCCTGTCTATATCGCTCATTCCATCAACAACTCAGAAGAAAACCCAGATTAAACAGGAACACTCAGGAAACGTCTTTCACATTTAATCCACAAATATTGACGGAGAATTTACTGTGCCGCCAGTGGCGGGGCTGGGCTCATAAGATAAAGTGGAGAGTTAGGCACGATTCCCGCTCCTCTAAAGCCAAGACAGAAAGCAAACAACCGGCTATAATCAAGTGGGATAAGAATCGGCTGCGGGTCCTAAGACCCCCGAGGCTTCCACTCGGCCTCAGGGCAGCCATCTCGGCCCTAGGGCGTCTGGCCGCTCAGCGCCAGGGTCTTCTCCTCCGCAGGCCTCTCGCGCCTTTTCTAAGCTTCCAGCGGCTGCCTCCTGCCTCAGGCCGACCCTGCAGGGTCCCTCGAGGCCAACGACGAGGGGTGACCCGCGGCTGGCGGCCGCAGCCGGTTTCTGCCAGCGTCTCCCCCGCCCCGGTTTAAAGCCCGCGGGCTTTTCCTGCTCTGCATTCCTGGATTTCCTGTTCCAACTCTCGCGACAGTTTGAGGATTCGCGTGAAGTGCCCGTTTCGTCGCACTTTGGTTTAAACCGCCGAACACGGTGTCTTTTGCCCTCGCCAGTCTCGTCAGGGATCCTCCGGCCAGAATGGGGTCACTGCAGCTCAGGAACCCCCCAAATGCCTGGACTCGGCCGAGTTCAGGGGCGGAATCGGCGGGGAGGGAGGTGTTTGTTCTGGAAGGACCAGTGCGCATGCGGCAGCGGCCCGGCTGAGCTGGACCGAGCCTGACTTAGAACCGCCGCCTCCCTGGCTGCCAATGGTGGTTTCCGTTTCCTTACCAACTTGACCGCGGCTCGGCTTCCTCGAGCCTTGGAGATAGGCGGACGGGCAGGCCGGGGCGGGGCCTCCAGCAAGTCTCCTCTCCGCCCCCGGAGTGCCACGGTGGCGCTGGGGGCGGCTGCGGAGACCGAGTGCCCCGGGCCCTGCAAGCCTCGCCAGCACAAGCCTGTAATCCCGACCCTGCGCGACGGCCGCCCGCAAGGCGCCCCGCCCGCTTCTCGGCTGCGGCCGCCCGCCGGCTCCCACCTCTAATCACCGGGCCGTCTGGGGGCTGGAGCACCTGCCACATGTGGAGTGGGAGGGAGGAAGCTGGTCCGACCGGGAAAGGCAGACGCAAACGCTGGGTCTCTGGGCCTTGGCCAAGGAGCTGGGGCCCCTTTTCCTCCTGGGGGAAGCCTGCCCTGGGCTTCCGGGCGACACCGCCAGTGGTTAGCCCTGCCCTCCCTCCCCCTCCCAGGAGCGTCCATATGTCGACAAAATGACTTGGCACCGGATCTCCAACCGCCTTGCCATTATGCAGCCACTCTAGCTGGCCCCAGGGACTGAGAAGTCAGATGGACGGGGCCTAGCCTCTCAGCCAACCTCGGAGCTCCCCAGCCACCCCTGCTCCTCAGCCCTTCCCTCCCTCCCTCCCTCACGGTGGCTGCTCCTCGGGTTAGGGCTCCAGAGCTCTCCTTGGGATTTGGGGATTTGGGATCAGGGGAAATAGCCAGAAAAGGGTCCCCTGCGGCTGCATAAAACCCGCAGCCTCCCAACTGAGGGGAAGGCGGGTGCGACCTCGAGGGGCGGGGAGAGGGGGCGGAGGCACCGTTGAGTGACTCCAAGTTGGTGGGTTCTCACCCAGAGCCTCGGGCCGGCCCCTGTCGCACACAGGGCGCCTCTACATTTTTCTCCACCGCCTGCTGGGCACTGCAATCAGGGGTCTATTCCTGCCCGGATATCAGGTGAGCGCCCTGGCATCCAGGTTATACAGGAGAGGCACCACTGCCCACCATCTCCATTAGCCAACTTTGGCTGGAGTTGTCCACTCCCATCCATCTATGGGGGCTAGGAGGGTCAGAACCGGGTGATGTCCGTGGTTGGTATGATAGAGTGGGCTTGAATGTGGTCTCTGTGTCTTCCAAGCTCCCATCCCTAGCCCAATCAATTGCCAATCGCATCACAGGATAGTCCTGAGTGACTCTGGAGGTTTTAATGTTAAGGGTGGGAGTGGGAGAACTGCTTAACTCCAAGATCTTGGAGAAGAAGGGGCTGTGCTAGGGCCGAGCAATGAGGGTGGTCTTAAGGCCCTGGCATTGCTTCTGACTGCTGGGTCTGGCCTCCCTCCCTAGCTGGACGCAGCTGATGCTCTGCGCGCTGGCTCGCAGGGACTCCTGGTGAAGCCATGCCTCAGCCGCCTGCCGCTCTTGCCTTGACATTGCCCCTGCTGCTGCTCGTGGTGGTGTTGGTGCAGATCCCGTCCCCGGCCGGCGGGAGGCCATCCCCCAGCCCGGATTACTTGCGGCGCGGCTGGCTGCGGCTGCTGGCTGAGGGCGAGGGATGTGCGCTCTGCCGGCCGGAGGAGTGCGCCGAGCCGCGGGGCTGCCTGGCGGGCCGGGTGCTGGACGCGTGCGGCTGCTGCTGGGAATGCGCCAACCTGGAAGGCCAGCTCTGCGACCTAGACCCCGGCGCTCATTTCTACGGGCGCTGCGGGGAGCAGCTCGAGTGCCGGCTGGACGTGGACGGCGACCTGAGTCGCGGAGAGATGCCAGAGCCACTGTGTGCCTGCCGCTCGCAGCAGCCGCTTTGCGGCTCCGACGGCCGCACCTATGCCCAGATCTGCCGCCTTCAAGAGGCTGCCCGCGCTCAGCCTGACGCCAACCTCACCGTGGCGCACCCAGGGCCCTGCGAATCGGGTATGCGCGGCCCGGGGGTCATTCTCCCCAGCACCCGGACTTCCCAACGCCCGACAGTATTGAAATCTGGCCTGCGGAACGACTATAATGTGGCCAGGAAGGGTCTTGCGTCCGGCATACAACGCTGTACTGTATAGGGCCCTCAAAGGCCGCCCTCTGAAGGTGTACAGCCACCTGCTGGCGCTGAGCCCCGGGAAAGCTCTAGTACCGGCGAGCAGGGACCAGCTTTCTGAGGGAGCAGGCAGATAGCCAAGGGAGAGAGGGAAAGTACCCCCAGATTTCGCCCCGGGGCAGCAGGTTCCTATGCGGTGCAATCAGGCGGTGTGTGTGAAGGGGGAAGGAGATTCTGAGCAAGATCAGCCAACCCAGCAGCTCTTTTCTCTAGCGTCTGGGGGACGAGTGAAGGGGGCAGTTGTTCCAGCTCTCCCTCCCCACATCCCTGGGGCCCGGGGCATTCAGATCTCCAGTTCTCTCTGGCAGCTTTAGTAGCTTTCACTTCCTGAGCCCCAGCTCCAAGTCTGGCTTGGCTGAGGCTTCCAGGAAAACAAACCCTTCCACCCCCACCCCTGCAGGGGTCCCAACAAACTCACCACCCCTACGGCTTCAGGTTTCCTGCTGGCTTCCCAGATCTGGTTTCAGGTTCTCCTCAGTTGCCCTGTGGATCCCCCAAGGGATGTGTGTGTGTGTGTGTGTGTGTGTGTGTGTGGTGGAGGAGGGCCTGGTTAGAGAAGGGGGATGTTGGTTAAAAGCACAGCAGGGAAGGGGCCCCTCTGGGGGGTGGAATGGGGATAGAGGAGAGGTCTGGGACAGAGTGTGGCAGCCAAGCCAGGGTGTAGGTGCCCATGCTTGCTTGTTTGTGTGCCGTGTCCCCATGGCGGGTATGCATGTGCGTGCATGTGTAATCCCCCCCCCATGTCTGTGCTCACACCGTGTGTGTGTGGAGAGCCCTGTTTGGGTGTGCACAAGTGTATCTGTTGTAGCTTGTCCAGGATGTGCGTTTCCCTCCACCTGCCTTGTGTCCCCTCACAGGCTGCTATGTCTTGCTGTGCAACGCCTCCCCCCCCACCCCCCCCCACGCCATCCTGCCTCAGGCCTCTTGCCTCTGTCCCCCTAGAGCCCCAGATCGTGTCGCAGCCACACAACATCTGGAACATCACCGGGCAGGACGTGATCTTCGGCTGCGAGGTGTTTGCCTATCCCATGGCCTCCATCGAGTGGCGGAAGGATGGCTTGGATGTCCAGCTGCCAGGGGATGACCCCCATGTCTCGGTGCAGGTAGGGGCAGGCAGCAGAGACCTGCTTCTGGCAACCCCCATGCCCCGAAGGCCTTTTCTGATGCCTCATCTGGCTCCAGTTTAGGGGAGGCCCCCAGAGGTTTGAGGTGACGGCCTGGCTGCAGATCCAGGCTGTGCGCCCCAGTGATGAGGGTGTGTACAGGTGTCTCGCCCGAAACGCCCTGGGTCAGACTGAGGCCCAGGCTATGCTGACAGTGCTCACACCAGGTAAGGGGGTCCTGGGGCTTCAGGGAGGGGCTGGGTAGGGGTCCTTGAGTGTGTGTGTGTGCGCGCGCTTGCGCGCGCACAAGAATGCTGCAAGTGCTGCCCCATGGAGGGTGGACGTGAGCGCTCCAGCCCCTCTCTCCTGCTCCCTCTTCTCTGCGCAGACCAGCTGAACGCCACAGGCTTCTCCCAGTTGCCACCACTGAGCCTGCTCCCTGAGGAGGCCACCGAGAGTGAAGAGAGCCAGGATTACTACTAAACCCAGGGGTGGGGGGTGGGAGTGGGTGTGGGGGTCAGCTCTATTCTGGGAGAGATCCAGAAATGGGGAGCAAGTTCCTGCACAGCTTGCTGTGAGACTCTTAATAAAGGCAGTCCTGAAGTGGCAGCGGCGAGGAAAGCTGCAAAGGGTCCTGGCAGGAGATCTCACCTAGTCTCACTTACTCCTTTCCCCAAGTTTCCCCTCTCTCTGGAGTCCCAGCTGTGCTGACACTGCAGTGTGCTTGGCTGTGGTCCCTGCAAGACAGCAGGAACTGGTGGGGGCCAATACAGGGGCAGCTCTGTCCTGCGCAGCTAGGCCCAGGAGAACGCACCAATAAAGCAAATGAACAAGCGAAGCCGCATTTCTATACAGACTGTTTCAGGCACCTGCTGGCCAGCGGCACAGAGGGCCTGGAGCCCTCCCTGGTCTACCTGTTTCCCATCAGAGAGGGAGGCTGGGGGGGGGGGGCGGGGAGTGTCAGTGTACTCTGACGCTCCCCTCACTGATGGGGAGGCAAAGTGGGGAACCAGCTTTCTGAGGCTGAGACCTGAATTTGAAAGCATTAAAACAGGGTGGCAGAGAAGCTTGGCCAGCTATGCGGGAGACCCCCTCCCCAACAATCCCAGGAGTCTACTCACTTCCCCAACCCAGGCCAGCACTCCGCCCCCAAAGTGACGTGTCCTGTGGCTTGGGGCCCCTCACAGAACTGCATGCTCTGGCATCCCGCCTCTATCCCCACAGTCTCCTTCCCTGGCCCAAGGACCCTGATGGAAGGAGAGACTAGAACTTGACTGCCTCCCGCGCCCAGCCTCGCCCGGAGCCCGGCGCCACGGTGGGAGGGACCGTACTCGGCTCAGCGCCTGCATTTGTCCTCGGGGGCCCCACGCAGGAGGGGAGTGGTCAGGAACCCCAGCCGCCCTTCCCCGCCACCACTCACCCCTCCTCCATCTCCTGCCGCCCTGTCCCGGGCCCCAGAGACCGGTTCTGTGACCTAACTCAGGAGGCGCTAGCGGGTGGAGTACCAAAAGGCATCCCAAGGCGACCACAGGAGCGGGGCAGGGGGCGTGCTGCGAGACGGGGGACGTGGGGGACGCCGCGTCCACCAGTCAGGCTCCCGGCGGACTCCTGGATGCGACGGCGCCCATCTGCAGGCAAAGTGGAGGCTCCAGGCCCCAAAGCCCCTCGACCCCGGAACGTCTCGCCGCTCCCAGGGGAATCTGAGGTCCTTTAGTAAGCAGCCTCAGTTTCCCGCCCCGCGGCCCGGCGTGGGAGAACCCGTACCGTCTCCCCTCACCCCGCACCCCGCCACCCTGCGGCGGACGGCTTTAATAACGTCGCTGGAAAGTGACACGCGATTTATTATTAAAGTAATGCGGGCGCGGGGACGGGAAAGGTTTAATAAACGCGCCGAGATGCCGAGGATTATTCACCGCAAATAAATGAGAGAGCGGGCGGCGTTTTAATAAATAATTTCCCACCGCTCCCTGGGGAGAATCGGGAGGGGCGGGGCGGGGGAAGCCGGGCCCGGCCGCCGTCGACTTTCGGCCTCGCCTTCCCACGGGTGTCCTGGCCCTCTCAGCGGTTCCCGTCCTCGGTATCTCCCAGCCGAAGGGTGAGGCTCCGGGAGAGCTGACCCAGATCCGGGCCGGGAAGGGGCCCATCACCACCAGCCCCTCCCAGGTCTCGGGGTCAAGCGGCCTTGGGCGGATGCCGGCTGTGCGGCTACTCCTCAGTCCAGGTGCAAGGGAGTGAGCCGGCGACAACGTCAGCGCTGGTCAGCCTGCCTCTGACCACCTCGCTGGGAGGAAGGGCCGCTCCCTCCAGCTGATGGTCACTACCAAGGCTCACAAGAAGCTTCCCCCAGCCGCGCTGGTCTGACCCGAGGGCAGCCTCGCGAAGCCCAACCCTAGCTGGTGACCCGAGACCTATAGCCCGGCTTCTGAGAAGGTCTAGATTGCACGTGTTGGAGAGCCGGGACAGGCTCTTGGCGTGGGCCGTGGTGGCGGGGTGTGGCTGGGGCACACCTGGCGCCGCAAGTTTTGTCCCTGGCTGTAAAGGAACCACATCTCTGTCGGCACACGGGAGTACAAGAAGTAGCGAAGAGTGCCATCTGGTGGGCATTTTTCATAGTGGCAGATGACCGAGGCTGGGGGCCTTGAACCTAAAAAGAAGCTTTCCTTTGTATTCCTAAGTGTTTACGAACTGCACATGTATGTGAAACACATGTGTGATTTCTTCATATATTTGTCTTTGCTTTCATGTGTCTACAGAAGTTATATATGTGTGTGCGTGTTTCCATGCACATGTGAGCCTGTACACCACACTGTTAGAGATTTAGCCTCTAAATGTACATTATGTGGACACACATGCAGGTGTATCTATGTGTGTACATGCGCCTTGTACATGAGGATGTACTGTTATATATTGGTGCGTACACACCTTAATTTGCAAGTGTAGATGCGTCGTGTGTCATTCTTTCCACAAACATTTGCTCCAGATCAGCACTGTTGTAGAGTGTGCATGTGTGAGGACTGCAAGCACATTCTGGTGGGTCTTTTTTTTTAAAGATTTAGTTATTTTTATTGGAAATGCAGATCTACAGAGAAGGAAAAATGACCATGAGGGTCGTTCTGGAGCCCCCAAAATTAGATCAGATAGACAGACAGAGACCAATAAGGAAAGCTTAGAACAGACAGGAAACAGTCTGCTGGGACTACATACACCTTACTAGGTGGAACAAAAGATCAGTTACTCCTAAGACTGAAGATTTCTCTGCGCACCCCTCCTAAAACTGTCCTGCTCCTCAACCGTTAACATATGACTTATTAGAGCTGTAAGCCTGTTTGGACTATCCTAAAATTCATAAAGTTCAGTAAAAAATTACACTTGAATAACATAAGCTGCTACATATAAAAATGAACATAGACACGAGACAGCTGAATAGTATCCTATAGCTATTTTAAGGTTTATAGCAGCCAGTTGTGTATATACTAAAATTGAGATGTCAAGGAAATAGTTACAGGATGTGGTTAAGATCTTGCATTTTCTAACATATTGGTCACTCAATACCATGTCAATTAACTTCATGATGTTGTAAATTTGCATGTTTCTTCCTGTTGTTGATGTTGTGTTGTGGCTTTTCATTGGAGGGGGTGATATTCTGCCAGCTCTACTTTCAGACCAGGGATGAAACTGTTGAATTTGTCTGGACAATCAGATGTTGGACTCTCTGCATGGTCCATGCCCGCAATGAAGGAATTACGACTGGTTATGAATTGTACTACTGTAACAATATGGAGGAATTCAATATGGGGGGATGGCTTGGGGAGGAGTTGGGGAAATCCCAGAGCCTATGAAACTGTGTCATAAAATGAAATAATAAAATATATGTTCCATTGTTTTCCCAGCTCTCCACAGGAGATTCTAAACAGGAAGCAGCTGTGGAGGTCTGCTGATGGCAATGCAGTGTTAGTGGCATCCAGTCTCACCTTGCTGCCCAGTGCAGGGCTGGGCAGGGGTCTGGGAGGCAGGTGGTGGGAGTAGGTTCTCTGAGGACAGTGATAGGGACACTTGGAGACAGCAGAATTCCTTCTGAGAGGTAGTGGGCTCTGTGGGCAGCTGCAGATAAGTGGGGAGGGACCCTTAGTGCTGGGTTGGGTGACGAGGTCAGGACTAGACACTGAGGCAGGGTGGGAGGGCAGAGCTGCAGGTGGCGGGCTGGCCCCAGCTTCCAGGAGGCCTCTCTCTTCGCCACCTTCCCTTCATACCAGAACCCCTACCCTCTGCAGGTCCTTCGTCTGTCCCACCTGAGCCCAGAGGTGCTGGGGGCAGAAGAGACTAAATACAAAGCTCCCGTGACTCTGTGGTGGCTGAGGTAGATGGGGCAGGGCTCACTCAAACATCAGCATCCCAGCCACCTGGCTCACTGCTGGCCCAACCGGCTCAGCCTGGGAGTTCACACAGCAGCCCCTTCCTTTTCTCTCCCCACCACCCTCGCCTTCTCTTCAGGACACATGGGGAAAGAAGCATCAGTTTTGCTCTTTCCTGTCTATTTTGGTGATAAGGCTTGCTCCACAGTCAGATGTTTTCTCCCATTGCCTTGGCGGAGAGCAGGTGGGAGGCAGGTGGGAGGCTGCTGCAGCCACACCCATAGCCCCTTGGAAAGACAAGGAGCCCATGACTGAGCTAGAGCCTGGGGGTGGTGACAGCCTCCCCCAATGAAGACTAGGACTCAAAGGATGATTGCTTCTTGTGGTCCCACCATGGATAACTGAAGCAGTCCCAGAGCTGACCCCAGCCCTGACCTTTGGGTTCTGAGTCCAGTTCCCTCCCTCGATTGTGTTAAGGGCTGGGAGGTTAAGGGTGAACTGAAGTGGGAGTGAGGCTTTGCAGTGTGGGTTTGAGTTCCGGGTCACTGGTCCTTATAGAAAGCGAGAGAGAGAGGGCCTGGCGGCATGGCCTAGTGGCTAAATGCTTGCCTTGCAAGCGCTGGGATCCTATATGGGTGCTTGTTCGTGTCCTAGCTGTTCCACTTCCTATCCAGCTCTCTACTTGTGGCTTGGGAAAGCAGTTGAGGATGGCCCAAAGCCTTAGGACTCTGCACCCATGTGGGAGACCTAGAAGAAGCTCTTGGCTCCTGGCTTTGAATGGGCTCAGCTCCAGCCATTGTGGTTACTTGGGGAGTGAACCAGCAGATGGAATATCTTTCTCTCTGTTTGTCCTTCTTTCTGTAAATCTGCTTTTTTGATAAAAAAAAATAAGTAAATCTAAAAAAAAAAAAAGGAGAAGAAGAGATAATTTTTCATCTGCTAGTTGACTCCTCAAATGACCACAAGAGCCAGGGCTGGGCCAGTCTGATGCAAGGAGCCAGGAACTCATCTTGGTTTCCCAGGTGAGTGGCTTGGGTTCCAGCACTATTGCCTTCCCAGGAGCATTAGCAAGGAACTGCATCAGAAGCAGAACAGTCAGCACTTTGGTGTGGGAAGCAGATGACACCACCGGCTGCCTAACCTGCCCTGCCACAGCACCAGCTCATGGGCAGGTTTCCTAACTTCCTTTTTATGTCCTTTTTGGCAAAAATTGCTATGCAGGAGCTGCAACCAAGATGAATACAGAAGGAACTCTATGAATGGTGAGATTTCCTGTAGCTGTTTTCCTGATGTGCAGCAGTGGGGGACAGGGACAGAGCCTTCTGTTGTAGCACAAAAGGTGCTGTGTGTGGGAGAACTGGGTGATGGCAGTCTTGGTGCCTGCCTGGAGGAGGCCTGAAGAGGAGGGGAAGGCTGAGACAGGATGGGGGTGCTGGTTGCAGCCTTCACATTCACTC